GTTTTAGAACAGAAATATCTTTCCCACCACCACAGCGATGACAGGGTTGAGAAGTGGATCCATCTATGTCGTTCTGCTTCTAAACAAAGACACAAAGACCGTGCAAGTCAGGGAATTCCTTTAACATACACTTTCATTTTGAATAAGGCATAAAGTTAGAACTGGACCAGGGGACCCTGAATCCTCCCTTAGTTATGCTGCAATAAGATTCTTCTCATGTCACTTTTCTGACTATGTGTTTATACGCCACTCTGCATCTTATTATTAGTTATTATTATTCTCTTGCTCTCTGGCACAGCAGCCCCTTACCTGAGCCTGGTTCTGCTGGAGGTTTCTTCTTTTTAAAAGGGAGTTCTTCATGGCCGCTGTGGGGTATGTGTTATTGTAGGGTCTGATCTTACAGTCTAAAGCACCCCTAGGCAACTGTTGCTGTGATTTGTAATTTTATTTATGTAAATAAAATAGAATTGAACTGAAAATTGTAATGAAAAGCAAAACAATTTCAAACAATAAAAACTAAACTAAAATACATAAACTGACAACAGAAAGTAAGTGAAACTAGACAAAATTAAAAACAAATGAAAAAATGAAAAAGCAAAACTACAGTAACTCTGCAGTTACCCCACCCACTGTCGTAGAAGCTGACTAGTGTGAGTGGGCATCAAGAGGCAATGGAGGAGGCTGACTGTAGGTGAGCAGCCTGAAGTTTAGTGTCGTGGAGAGTTAGCAAAACAAAAACACTGTCCCACTTTTAACCCCTGACTTTGACACACGTCGTCTCTTTTTATGCGACAACCTCTGGTGATTAATATAAAAACCAAGATTACCTTTCATGTGTTTCTGTTAAACTGTTTGAATTCTGTTTGAATTACGTTGTCGCTTGCAATTAGGTCCCATATCACTCCCATGTTAAAATCCTTACACTGGCGTCTGGTTGTGTACAGATATCAGTTTAAAATCCTCACTTTTAAGTTCATATTTTTACAAGGTGAGGCCACCACCTATATCGCGGAGCTTTTTCAACCTTCAAACTCTAAACAGGATCCTCAGAGCCAGTGATAGTGGTCTTCTGACTATTCCACGGACCCGTTTGAAAACGAAGGGGGATCTCGCTTTTCAAACCCTAGCTCCAACACTGTGGAACAGTTTACCTCCCCCACTACACACCATCGACTCTGTGGCTTCATTTAAAAAACAGCTTGAAGCACATCTGTTTAGACAGACATTTGGGTAACGTTCGTGTGTAATATGTTGTTTTGTTTGATACGCTTTTATATTCCCTTGAGAAGCACTTTTTAATAGCTTCATGTCTTAAAAAGCGCTATATTAAAAAAATGGATTAACTTACTTACTCTGGCTGCCAGTAAGCACCAAGGCAAACTTTCATCCCAATCAGCCTTCAGTTTGGTGCAACAAGCATGTAGCAATGATTTAAATGCTGATGGCAGCGTTCTAATGAATCCTTACTTTGACGATGACACACCAATGATTTATGTTTAAAATGAAGTTGTTGGAGAGCCTGTGCAAATAATCTAGAAGTAAAATTAGAGCCTTGATCCCTCTGAATTACTTTGGGAATCCCGAACACAGAAATGAATTGGCTAAAAGCTTAAACTATTCCCTTAGTAGAGCTTTGGGATCAGGATCACATCCAGGTTGTTGTGCTGGTAACTACATAGCAGGGGCTGTTCAGACTTCCTGGGCTGAGAGACAGATTAAGCTGAGTATACTATGTTGACATTTAAACCTGATATTAGTCCCTGTTGCACTGACATGTGAGATTGTAAAAATGAGAACGTGCCTGTTTTCTTTGACTTGTTGGTCTTTGTGGATGATCCTCAGTTTGAGTTTCTTAGCCTCAAATCCCATTTAGTGTTTAAGATTTTGAATCAAAGGCCAGCTGCAAAAATACTCCTGTTCACAACTTTCAGTCACAAGCTGACACTGAGCCTCTTTAGTAAACCCAACAGCTTTTTAATGTCAAGAGAAGGCTTTTAGCTGCTGCAGACACGAGTAGATCTGACCCTAGAGGTTCTTTCTTTCATATGCCAACCTTTGTAATGATATTTTTCACAGGCGTTTATCGATTTATCAATGACCTTTTCTCATCAACATCAAAGAAAAAGTCTAGGAATAGGAGGTACTTTATGAACACCCACAGTCTCCCAAACTACCCCTCACCAGACTGTTGTTGTCTAAATCTGAATTGGAAATAATTATTCAAGCTTTTATTTCGGCTTGCTTAGATTATTGTAACAGCTGTTTTCTTTGTTTGAGCCAAAAGAATCGTAACTATCTCCAGTCAGTCCTGCTGCAAGGCTCTTAACAAAGGCATGAAAAAGAGAGCACATTACATAGGTTTTCTTCTCATTACACTGGCTTCCAGTACATTATAGAATTCACTTTTACTGCTGACTATTAAAGCTCTGAGTCGTGACGCTCCTGCCTACATCTCTGATCTGTTAGAACCCCACCCTCCCTCTCACAGCCTGGGATCATCTAATCAAAGGCTGTTGGTGGTCCCACAAGCACGTTTTAGGATCAAAGGAGTCATATCTTTTAGAGCGGTGGCCCCCAGGTTGTGGAATGCTTTGACTCCACCTTTAGGTTTTTTAAAAAGCAGCTAAAGACTCATTTATTTAGACTAGCTTCTAAATGGATTTGTGCTGTATGATGATGATGTATGTTTTATGTACATCTGTGTGATACTATTGTGAACCACTTTCACCTCTCCTGTCCTGTCTTTCTTATCTTTCTCCATTTCCATGTGATGTTAGCTCCCTTTCTTCTCTCTCCCTGTGAAAAACAGCAGCTGAACCTTTAGCTAGCAAAAACGAAAACACCGTCCCACTTTTAACCCCTGAGTTTTAAACACGTCGTCTCTTTTTATGCGACAACCTCTGGTGAGTAATATAAGAAACAAGACTGCCTTTCATGTGTTTCTGTTTAGGCTCAAATCTATTTAACGGTTGGAGGTTTTCTCGGTGTTCATCAGTCACTCATCTGTGTGTATGTGGCACTGTGGCTTAGTTGGTTAAAGTGCCTGTCTAGTAAGTATTAATAGAAAACAGGAGATCCTGGGTTCAACTCCCAGCAGTGCCTAAAACATAGTAGTTTTGTCTGTTCTCAGTCATCCAGGGCCTGTTAGTCTAAGGAGCTTTGAAAGATGAGTGTCCGGATTCCTTTAAGGGACACATCCCACTGGTGTATAAATACCTGGGACTCTCCACCGTTTCATTTTAGCAAGGGTCTCAAACTCACGGCTTACCTCCCTCCTACTTGGGGCCCGTATATTGACCTGAAGAAATATAATGCAGTTTGGCCATTGAAGTTACTTTTGTTGTAAGGGAGGATTTGTTTGTTGTTGAGTGCAATGTTAAAATAAGTTCTTTAAAAAGCACAAAATGATTTAATATGAAGGCAATATGAGCAGAGAGCACAAACTTGTTGAGGGATTGGCTGTTAGTTCAGTGCGAGAGTTATTTGTAAAGAAAACTATTTTCATTAGCAGTCAAAACTAACGTGTAAACTTAGAGACCATTTTGACGTTTGACCAGAGTGCTCTCTCGGCTGCAGCGTAATATTAAAATCCACTTCAAAAGACACTCATCACATGTTTATAGTTTTTTAAAAACTTCAATGACACTGGCCAGAAAGAGAGTACCAAGTTGTTTGTTTGGTAGTTCAGTGAAAGGCTTCAGTTAATTAAGAGTGTGAAAATAATTAATTCAGCTTTGCAGTTTTGTCTTGTTATTCAATATTTGAAAATAAAAAACCAACACAACACTAGATTTTTGGAAATATTTGTGGATGTTTTCTACTTGGCCAAGGACAATGAGGTCATTCATATCAGATCTCTTAGCGGCCTCTAAATCAGTTACTATGGGAACATGTGTGATTTGCAGCTGTAGAGAACATCTCACTGATTGCTGGATTAAATAGAGGCTAAACAACATTTTGGTCATGTAGACAACATATGGGCTCGTCCGGGATTTGAACCCGGGACCTCTCGCACCCTAAGCGAGAATCATACCCCTAGACCAACGAGCCACATGAAAATATGCAGTCTTTTCCAAAAGTCACATATCAGAGCAAATAAAGCGGCATGTATGAAAGATTGTCTTGAAAGCTACCAGTCAAAAGTTTTATCTACAATATAGAAAAACCCTGACAATGTGTGTCCAAAACTGAAGACGTCAAATAAATGAAGCAAGAAATATGGAATCATGTACCATCAAAAAGAATGATAAATAACTAAATATGTTTTAAATTTTAGATTCCTGGAAGTAGCCACGCTTTGCTTATTTCACAGTGCCACAAACCCTCAGCCTTCTCTCAATGAGCATCATGATATATGAAATGGTTTTCACTTCACAGATGTGCCTTTTTAGGGTTCATTTGTAGGATTTCTCTTTAGCACATTTTCACATGAACGTCATACATCACCCAGAAAAGCATCAATCACAAACCTATACTCTGCGTTTTTTCAGCTCGCTGCAGATGTTTGACCGGCCCATGCCACCAAGCATCAGCCATTATAAATTCAACCTCAGTGATTTCCACCCTGCTATTAATGTTAACAAGCTCGGGCTTCACAGTGCAAATTTTAAAAGAGAGCGGAGAGCCTTGCCAACAGCTCCTTAAGCTCTAATTGGAGAGTACAGTTGTATAAACATGCAATTAGACTTAAATAACATATCTGAAGAATTTAATTGTGGGATGAAAAAAAAAACGATTTAGATATCAATGAGTTTTTAAGGATACTTCAAGTTAGGCAAATGAAAAATGAGTGAAGTGAAGAATAACATGGATTAAAATACAAGTGTTGCTCTTTATTAACCTGTTGCATTGGCGAATCAATGTTAGCTATACAGGTGAACAAACTCAGAGTGGGTAGAGTGAGGCTTTGTTACACCTTCTCTCTGAACACATCACCAGGTAATTTTATCAGCGCAAGCTCATCTAAAAATGTCAATAACTGATCAAATGAACCAGGACAATGAGGAGAGTCATGAAGTTTATTAGAAATAACCAAATGAAATCATACAAAAGCAGCCTGTGTGAGTGACTTTTTTCAAGATCACTACACACGCACACCCATTTCCTGCTCAAAAGTACTCCACAACTAAAACTCTCCACCAACTACTAACTTTGGTTATGGAGTTGATAAACAAATGTATTCATACATAATAATAATATGGATCTGTGTGCACAACTCTGTTCACAACAATCCCAATTTGTACTCCACCATCATGTGTGGCTCACCCATCACTTCACTGTGGGCTGGATCTACAAAGGAAAAAGACAAAAGCACAGTATAAGCCATGGTTTCACGTCGTCACACATATCACTGAAGGTGTAAAAGGGAAGGACAAGGTTCCCACCGTTGAGGACGTCTTCAAATCCAATGGACTCATCGCTGTTTCGCAGCGTATCGAGAGCCAAATTTGAGCTCTGTAGGAATGGGAGACGCTGGATCTGGAGGGAAGAAACAGTTGGTGTCAGGACTGAGAAGGAGAAAAACAAAACAAAACACTTGAACACCTGGAAAAGGACTGCAGCTACCTGTCGGGCCGCCCTGTACTCCATTTGCAGTTTTAGAGGAGCGTGAAGACCCTGGATGTTTCTGAGTGTTGAGAAATTCATCTTATCCTGGTTCAATTGGAACTGCTCATGGAGAAACAGAAAACAGTGAGATACCCACAGAAACGTATTTTTACTACTTGCACTTTGTGTCTATTGTGATTAAACTGAGCTGCATTTGACAAAACAGTAATTTTTATAGTAAAACCAAGCACAGAACACAAATACCATTTAAGCCTTTCATGAAAACCGCATTAATTGGTTTAATGACTCACATTTTTTTCTGACAGCTCCAGCGGGTGGCTTGGAAGCAGTTCATTCTTAACACTGGTAAATCTGTTTAATAAAAGTAGAAGAGAAAAAAACAGTATTACGAAAAGCACATTGTTCTTTATTTGGGGGCTAATACAAAAATGTGTTTTTGGAGATTACCATGCAACAGAGTTTTATTTTTAACAGTTTCTCACCCACTACGGAGGGAGTCCTGCACTCCGTAAGCTCCCTGTGGAGAGAACCCAGCCACAGGTACACTGTCCTTAAGCTGAGAGCGAAGTCCTCTGGAATTCTGTAGTCCACATCAAAGACATACATAAACCATTTACATTTGATAACACTTAGCTAATGGCTATCTAATGTAGCTAATAGCAACAAATACTGGAAGTTGTATTTATCTAAGGGACCTTGTGGCTAACCTAAGCGCTAGCTGGCATTAGCTCGAGTGACTAATCAAATTCACAGCTACTCAGTTTGGGCACGGTTAAAGACAAACAACTTCACCACCGAGACTTCAAATGATCACACAGATTATAAAGCAGAGAGAGTACGCAACAACAAGGTTTAAGATATTTAAAAATATGGTATAGGGATTAAAAACGCTATCATACCATTGTCACTTCGTTTGTTCCCCTTTCCTTTCGATACACTGCTGTATCCGGTAACGTCTCGTTTTGATGACGACACATCCGCTGATAGCTTATGTACAGGATCACGTCTTTCCAGTTAAACAGACAATGGTGTGCTGTACAATATGTAAAGTATACGAAATCAATTCGTTATCACTTAATTGAAGATATAAACATGAACTCTATGCCAACTTCGTATGGGGGAATGATTATGATCATGATGATAAATACGTATGCGTCCTCTATGCTTAATGTGAGGGGGTATAGCTCAGTGGTAGAGCATTTGACTGCAGATCAAGAGGTCCCCGGTTCAAATCCGGGTGCCCCCTGTTTTTCAGTTTTGCGTTAGTCATTTGCAAAACTTTAATTTGTCACCTTAATGACAAGTAAAGCTTTTGGAATTTAATGATAATAATAATAATAATAATAACAGCCAGAATACAAGTAAGGCTGACCTTTAAAATGCACTTCTCTCTACAGTGCTACAGTGTGTTATCACAATGAGCTGAACACCCTCAGATATCAAGTTAAGAAACACAAAAGGCATAAATACAGTTAGGACCAGTTGGGATTGTCATTTTGCCTTCATATACCACCAGCATATATTTGAAATTGAACAGTCAAGATACAAACACACAGGATATCAGCTGTATGTTGATTTGCAGATGTTCATCATCAGCAGCAATTTTTGGCAGTCTGACTGTCTGGAATTCGGAATGTGGTTTAACACAATGTTACTGTAACAAACTATAGTCTACACACTAACAAGTCACTCATCTGTGTCTATGTGGCACTGTGGCTTAGTTGGTTAAAGTGCCTGTCTAGTAAGTATTAAACTAGAAAACAGGAGATCCTGGGTTCAACTCCCAGCAGTGCCTAAAACATAGTAGTTTTGTCTGTTTTCAGTCATCCAGGGCCTGTTAGTCTAAGGAGCTTTGAAAGATGAGTGTCCGGATTCCTTTAAGGGACACATCCCTCTGGTGTATAAATACCTGGGACTCTCCACCGTTTCATTTTAGCAAGGGTCTCAAACTCACGGCTTACCTCCCTCCTACTTGGGGCCCGTATATTGACCTGAAGAAATATAATGCAGTTTGGCCATTGAAGTTACTTTTGTTGTTATGGAGGGTTTGTTTGTTGTTGAGTGCAATGTTAAAATAAGTTCTTTAAAAAGCACAAAATGATTTAATATGAAGGCAATATGAGCAGAGAGCACAAACTTGTTGAGGGATTGGCTGTTAGTTCAGTGTGAGAGTTATTTGTAAAGAAAACTATTTTCATTAGCAGTCAAAACTAACGTGTAAACTTAGAGACCATTTTGACGTTTGACCAGAGTGCTCTCTCGGCTGCAGCGTAATATTAAAATCCACTTCAAAAGACGCTCATCACATATTTATAGTTTTTTAAAAACTATTTAAAACTAACAAAAAATGTCACACAGTGATGTCTACTTATATGACAGACTAACAAAGACTGTAAACAACTGCAAGTTTCAGACTTTATTAAAGTGAATACTGTGACAATAACAGTGTGGCACACTCCACTTCGAGACTGCACAGTTTTAACATAAATCATGTTTGTTCTGCTGCGTTTTCATCAGCGAGCTCGTGTGGATCTAACCTGGGTGGGTGAGAAGGGCCATCTGTAGGAGATACGATGAGAAAAAGGTGATGAAGAAAAAAGGAAGACAGAATAGCATGAGACTGGATTATCAGGATAATGCAAAGACTTCCAAAGCAACATACATGATGTTGCCATGTTTGCTGTCAATTTAAAAAAAATCAGATGGCAGCACAGAATACAGTATTTAGGGAATATTTTTACCTTTGCTCAGCTCAGAGGAGTAACTGCAGGCCAAATGTCTCCATTCCTCCATATACCTGCACAGGCAAGAGAGGAAAATTCATACGGGGGGCATCCCATGATGCAGGAAATTATGAGAAAGATTACAAATGCCACAAACATTCTAATCAGAGTGCCTTACTCCTCGAAGTTTAGAGTGTTGGTCCAGGCCAGCAGCTCATCCAGCTCCCATTCCAGTATTTCATCATCTCCTTTCTTTTCAACTGTCTCCATCAATTCCTGGGCGGAACTCTCCACCAGGGCCGCCATGTGTCTGTGCTCTGCATGATCCTGCAGATGACCCTCTTTATACCTGTATGTAAGGAACAGGAGTGACAGCTCATTTAACACAATTAAAACAACACATCATTATGTGTTTGTTAGCAAAGATGTGATTCTATAAGGGGGAGGTTTCTATCACTATTAATAAGTAACAGACACAAACTTTAGATTGCATGTGCATTATTGTGATCACTGATGCTACAGTGGTTTGCTCACCAACTGTTTCATTTCACAAAAACATAAAGCACTTACATCTGCTTCAGCCATTCAATTTTCTTTCTTTTCCTCCAACTCTCTAAATCTTGCTTCCGCTGCAACTTGGAGTAATGAAAGTCCATTTTTTTGTCAGCACCGATCTCTGCAGGCTCACGTGCCAAAACCACCTAAGAGAGAAGACGAAGCAAAAAAACCCCAAAACAGACTTGCAGAACTTCGGCTTTTAGAGGCTTCCTGTTAAACAGCATTTGTAAACTTGCTGTAGCTCTTTGGCTCCCTGTTTCTAAACAAATGGCAGAACTTGACTAAAGCAGAACAGAAAATCATTTTTGTTCCTCACCTTGTTACAGAACAGCCTCCAACTATTGTTCTCCATGCGCTTGTACCAACCTGATCGGTCATCCTTTGCGACAGCTGGGCCTTTGTTGGTCTTCTGGGCCACAAGCTTCCTACGACTTTGCTTGGTGTAGTCTTTTGGGCTGCCTGCACACACATCTGTAATTGGCCGATGGGTGAAGATCTTGTAATAAATATCAGGAGGAAAGTTGATCTAAAATGGCAGAGAGGTTAGCCTTAGAGAGGAAGGCATGTCTCTAATATTATATTCATATAGCTCCTGAGTGATCTATTCCTGACCTAAACTATTTCCTCTCTGAGTTCTTACCCCTCCAAGTCGAAATCTGATAAACACTCCAGCTGCAGCATCCAGCAGTTCGGCCTGCCACAACAAAATCACATTTCATTTTGTTTGATTTGGTTTTATTTCATAGGGGTTGCAATTTCCATTACCTCTCGAGGATTGACAGTTTTGAGGATGGTCTTTGGATCCTGCTGTTTGCAGTAGAAAATCAACTCTTTGAAATACCTGAAGACTTCACTGGCCTGCAATTTGGGTAGATTTAAAAAAAAGCTGTTACTACAATTGTGCACATATGTGAGTCTGTGTTCCCATAGCAGTAGTAGTAGATGTTCCTACCATATATCCTCTCCAAGTCTTCTGAATTATTCTGGCTGCCACCTCCTGCAGTGTCCCTTGTTGGGGCTCGTCCTCCTGCAAGCTACAGAAGAGGAAACATGAGAAGGAAGGACAAAGAGACCGATTACTTTTTACATTACAATATATTGCATAATGTGTCTTATGATGAGTTCTACTGATGAGAGAACCAACAGTGGGAATATTTACTCTGATTTAGATACTTATTTTTCATATAATCTGGTGGTATGCACTTTTATTTCATTCAAATTATAGTCATTTTAATTGACTTCATATTGCTAATTCACCACACTTTTTTCTTTAGGAGGAATTAAGTTGGGTTTTTTTAATGTATGTTTTCCATTACTTTTAACAAACTGTTAAGGTTAAATGTTATTTTATAGATTAGGACTTTACATATAAAAATGTGCAGCCATTTTCTAAAATATCATACACAGCAGCACATTTGTTGCCTATTAAATAGCCTTAGTAATACTATGCAGATAGCTTGTGGTATAGGTCCAACATAAAGTCTAATAATAACTCACTCAAGAAATTTCTGACATAGCATATTACTGTGATAAAATACAAATTGGGTTTTCTGTGTGTGTGTATGTATCAATAAAACGGCATAAAAACTTCTGCATAATGGAAAAGTCATAAAAAATGTTGTCCCATTATATACAATACAAAAACAACTTGATTTAAAGTTTGCAATTTATCTGGGAACAAAGGCATCAAACAGCTAACGTTAGCTAACTTAAGCCAGGGAAATAAAATATACAGTATTTACATTGTGTGATACACACGTGACTTCTTATCACATGCAAACGTCATTGTGATGTAAAATATACATCACCTCATGACTGCTGCCAATTACTCTCTAAACATATCAGCTGATGGCAGCAGATGTTTTGAAAATATCTCAGTAGGTTACTCGGCAACGTAACCTGACATTAATTAGTCTTCCGGGAAATACTTTCAAAATAAAATGTTCTTTTGCTCAGTTGTATTACTTAACGGCTGGACATAGACGTTCACTATAAGTCAAGACCAAGACTGAAAACCACGTCACGTTTAGAGCCATTTAAACCACCTTTCTTCCCCATTCAGATGCTCAGTTTGACCTTCAATAGACCATGTCTACAAGCCTAAAGCACTGAGTTGCTGCCATGATTAGGTGATTAGATATCTGCATTAACGACTTATTGAACAGGCATACCTAATATAGTGGCAGATGAGTGTAGTTTTAATATCACTGACCATTAGATGGAGCTCTTTTACAAGTAACCCCGGCTTCTCTGGTTTTTCCACCACTCTTATGGTTGACATTAATCTTTAGTATGCATATATTTTCTGAAACTTTAGACTCTAACTATATGCCAAATCCTTAATACAATTTCACAACTTTCCATTAGTTGGGATTTGTTTATTTTTGTCACAAAAGGTGGACACGTCCATTAAATATGAATGTTTGAACAGACTTGTACCCACAAAATGAGCAATACCAGTACCAGCACTCACATACACATACTGAATCAGAAAGGAACTTTTCAAATCTCTAATGAGTAATGTTCTTTTCTCTCAGCCTCTTGACTTGAACAGCCAGGCCAGGCAGCAAGACCCTGTGTTTCTTAGTCCACCCACTCAATTAGTTTGTCAGATAGCGAGGCACAGATTCATCACCCAGCTGTGTGGGATTTCTCCATGGTAATAAGAAACTGCAGCAAATCAGAGCTCTTAA